TTGGATGCTATATATGATTGACGAATTCAAATGTTTAGTCTATGGTTTAACATTCATAAGTTAGCCAAAGCCTTGTTTTGGCTGTTGCTAGCACTTTTTAACGTATCTTTAGATCTTTAAGTGACGTTCAGTGCCCTTCGGATCGGTATAATGTGCAATTCTTTGATTTTACTATTTGCTTAGACTACACTTAGGGCACAACATGATTTTATAAAGTCGTAAGAGAATGTTCTTTGTTCACAGACATGATGCTTTCGTATATAATTTTTGTTAACATTTAAGTCTAGACAACTGATTTTGTCATCCCATTACATATCAATGTAATACATGTTGTTGACGATTAAATATACAGAGGTGTTAAATTTGCATGACTTGTGCAAGATGGATGATGGGCAGTATTACGTGTACAATATTTACAAATTGATTATCTATTGTAATACGGTATACCTTTACAACATTATATAGAAATCAGGAAAAAGCCCACAAACCATTGATGAATACTTGCTAGCTATTTTAACCGATTGAATATGGCTATAAATTATAATAGCAACTAATTCGTCTTATGTGAATATATACGACCTCTATACTCGAATGCAGTAGTAGTATTTCTATGAATGTTAAACCAAAAGTTCACAATTCTAAATTTTCTGAAAAAATATTATTGTAATTTAAACAATGTTCGGTTAAGTAAGGTTGGAGTGGAGACCTTGTGTCCAAAGCCCACTTAAGTTGAAATGATGGCACAGATTTAGCGTATGTACATGCGGTAACTAGAGGGTAGCGTACGAGCAACATGGAAAGGCACGACTTTCCTATTAGGTAAAGACGAACTAACCTGATAATTCTATCAATTTGTTTAAGTCCTTATTTTCGCAGGAATTTAAGGAGGCAAACGTTACAATTATTCTTTAATCGCTCATCGAGGGTTAATGAAAATAGAACAATTCCATACATAGTTTTTCATATTGGCTAAATCCCTAATTTTGTAGAAACTTGAAGAGAGAAACTGTACAATTATTCCCAGTTCGTTTGTCGAGGGTTAATTAAAATAGAACAATTCCATATATGTATGTATATTATTTGATTATTTGATCGAAAAAAAACCTCTTTATTATTTGATATTGTTATTTTAAATTAAAAATATTTAGCATTTTATTTGTAATTAGTGCTATATTAAATAATATATAATAAATATTTTTAATTAATAAGAAACAGTGGAAAGCACTATTTAATATTGTTTTTATACAATATTATTTAAAATCACATAACACACAATTTTTTTTTCGCCGTTTTCAATGGATCTGTTTGTTTCACCGAAAAAAATTCAAAATGTTTAATCTTGCATTACTTAAAATCACCCCTCCATGTCTGCAATTACATGTTCTTAAATTGCTTAATATTATTAACCACATAATTATATGATAATGCATTGTGTTTCTTTTTTGTTGTTGTCAACAGTTATTCAAAAATTGCTCATCAAATGCTTGAAAGAGAATTGGCACAACGGCTCTCCGTACGCCAACAAGTGCTGCTGCACCTTAAAAATAATATGGATCACATAAAGGAAAAATCACAAATAAAATTTAAATCAGTCTCTTGTTATACTTCGAATCGATGGTCGTGGCGGTGGCGGTGGTCTGTCAAAATACTCGAATAAAAACACTGATTAACGTAATAAACGGTACTTTATTATATATATTATTGTCGTTATATAAAATATATATAAATATATTATCTACAAGACTAATAAAAATTGAAGACAATTTAATGTACATTATTGTGATATATTAAATAATAAAAACTGTGTTAGATATCTGTTAACCGTTAGATGATAACCGATCCAGCGGTGTTTTATTTAAATTAAAAAGATTTATTATTTTTTTTTTTACCATTTATAATACTTTTTTTTATATTATAAAATTAAAAAAAAAAAAATTAGCTCTTCAATTGCTATATTTATGTAGCGATTAAAAATGCGATAAAATTACAATTTTTAATTCATAAAAAATATGCAAAATTGTTGTTGTATTGTTAAAGTGTCTTTTCATTTATTTGTTTATAATTTTTGTTGATTCTTTATTTTATTTTTGTTTTTGCTTCCTTTGCATTTTACACATATCTTCACACGAGTATATGGTATTTGTTAAACAGCGTCAAGCTATAATTCGGCTGCTGTTATTTAATTCCTGTTGCTTTACAGACAACATCGCACTGTTCATTAACACTTTGTAATAAAAACATAGAAAAATAAATTTCTGTTATTGCTTTATAATACGATTACAGTTATATACTGCAAATTATATTTAATAAAATAAAGACATTTACATGTAAATGTATTAGATAAATATTTTCTCAAATTTTTTAAAACAAATGTTTAAATAATTTCTATTTAATAAAAATGTTTATAAATGTTAATTTAAACATATAAATTTGGTATAATAATTTTTGGGGGGTTAGTTGGTCATTTAAATAGATATAAAAAATTATTATTTATTGTTTATATTTAAAAACGTTTTATATTTTATTATAATACTTTTCCTATATTTAGACTATCTTTGATGAAAAAGTGAAATTAATTAATTAAATTAAAGTATTTAATTTTGTAGTGAAAGTAAACAATAAATTATAAAGTAATAAACAATAGGTACATGTGCTAATATAATTATGTGCACATAATGTTATGTTAAGGGTCATATTATGTACTCGTGTATATAAGTAAATCAAGTTGTAAAATCGCACAATTAAAAAAATTGGAAATAATACTTTAATGAAAAAAATATTTTTGAATAATTTATTATAATATGATATTTATATATTATATTAAATATATACAGTATAAATAAAATGTAATATTAAAATATATTATGAATATAAATAAATATAGACAATATAAATAAAATGTGATATTAAAGTATAATATATTTATAAATAAATATAGACAATATAAATATAATATAATATTAAAATATAGTATATTATAACATCCTAAAACAAAATATATCATTTAAATATCAGCATCATTATTATTGTTAGGGGATATGGAACTGCGAACGTCTGGGCTATTGTGCCCCCTTCTATGTTTAGTGTAGGTCTCTAAAACCTGTTGCGTCAATAAAAAGTAGTATAGAACCAACTTTACAGAGTTTTATTGTCTCTTCCGTAAGAATACAAATTTCCAGGAGCCTATTCCGTATGTGCATTAACGCAGGGCATTTTAACAGCACATATGTGGCCGATTCCACATTTTACCATACAAAATATCAAATAATTTTTCAAAATTTTACAAGTGGTTGTACACAATATGTACTACTTATGCCAAATAGCTTTCTTTAAAATTTGTCCTTTGTAGTTTGACATATATATTACATATATGACATATATATGTATTGATATTCTCATTAAATTTATTCATCCAGTAGAAAATATTTTTGGATGGATTTTTAAAATTTACTACTTCAGTTTCATAATTATTCAGGGTGAGAAAACCTAGAATGTGTTTCAGTCCTATCAGCATTTGATGCTCCCATACCTGTTATTCGAAACTATTATTGAAGAATTTTCCATTTATATCTGTTTTTCTCTGCTACGACCTCTAAATTCATCTTCTTGCATTAGAGATAGACTTAAAAGTTAATTTACTGTCCAACATTTTCTTCTAAATGCTTTTCTTTAGGAAATATCAAGTTCTCGCTATATCAGCAATTCTAAATTATTTTTGTAAATTGAAGACATATTTTCTCCTTTTTTGAAGTTTTTGTTATTATATGTACTTTTGTCTTTTTATTGATTTTAGCATTAATGTTAGATAATATTAACCTACTTTTTTGAGTTTTGAAAAATTGTTTGATACAGATCTGGCTATTAAATATGTATCATTTATATATGTCAGTAGTTAAAAAAGATCTATCTTAGTATATTAATTTTTTTATAAGTGATCTAACAACATATTTTAATAGCTGATAATACATCACTAAGAAATGCATATTAATAGTGCTTGTCTTACAGGAAGAGTATTTCTGCCTAGAGAAGACTGCCAATTGCAATGTTTCCGTAAATTTGTCACATAAGTTAGATTAATATGGCGTTCGTCATTTGTATTGAATTAGAACTAAAAACTGGTTCGTAATGACCAGTGTTTCAAGTTATTCTGTTAGTGGAATTGCATATTTGGGAATTGTATTTCAGTGGTACTGATGTTAGTTAAGATTCATTATAGTACTCATTTAGTTCTGAAGCTTTGTATTGAAGGATTAAAAAAAATTTTTGAAAATATTTTGATATAAAATTTGTTTTTAATATATTAATATTTAATTTTAAAATTTTAAAACAATAAATAAATTAAAATGCATAGTTACATTTTAAGATTTTAACAGTTTTAAAATTCCTAGATTGCATAGTCTCTGTGTAAACTTTAAACTCTATCACTACTAAATAATTTCATTTCAGTGCGTATGTTTTTAAATAATAAATATATAAATAAAAAACATATTAATAAATAATTTTAAAGTGATATATATTATATTGTTGGACTTAATTTTAAATACATGCATTTACATGCATTTAATATGAAAAGGTAAGTAAATTTTTGATCATATTACTGAATTTTGAATTAAGTACCTCAATAACTTCTCATTTATATTACATATAAATATATATAGATAACAAATATTTATATTATTATTACCTGTACACCAGGCAGAGGTTATCTAAAAGGAATTTCCATTGCTTTCTTTCAAAATTTTCAAAATATTTGCAGATAAATCTATCTGCAAATCCACAATATCTTAATTTAGATTCACAAAGGGGCCAACTAAATTTATTGAAACAGAAATTATGCAAACCATAGATTTTGTTGCCTAAAGTTCGAATACTATCTATAATAGTTCATTTCATATTGTACAAAAGGCAGTGTTTATATATTGATGCTAATAATTTTTTCAAAGTTTTATTACAAGAAATTTGATAAATTTATTCTAATAATTAATCTAATAATAATTCTAATAATTTTTGAAACTATTGTATGTTTAATCCATCGAGATCGTTTCAGTTTTAGTGAAAAATACTAATCAGTCGTCATCGTGATTACACTGGGGCAAACTGCGTTTACGCTTAAATGACGCTATAGCTTTAAGCATATCACGTGCTCTGGACTTTGAACGACATGGTTGGTCTCCTACTATTACATCTTCGTACATGTTTTCATCCCGAATTGGATTATACGTAGTTGTTGATATGTTGTAAGTTCTTGTAATTTTACTATCTTCATCCAAAGTTACTTCACCTTTACGAATAAGGCTGTAAAATGGTTGTGCGTGTATCTGTTTAAATAAAATAAATCCTTGTTGCATAAAGAAATAAATTAATTATTTATAATAAATTACTGGTGGATGGCAATTTTTGTATATCAGATCTGCCAAAATAAAAGTCTTTATAGCTGCATTGAGTTCAGTATTAAATTGACTGTCATAATATGAAAAAATGCCTCTAACTTTAAAATTAAATCTGAAATAAACATTATTAATTTAAAATAATTTTTTTCTATATGGTTTAGAACTTACGTATCCCTGAAATTAGCACTTCTCTTATATGATTCTATATTATCTTTTTCGACCTGAATTCGTTTGAGGAAGGCTTCTATTAGTGATATCGGCTCCACTTCTGGCAAATTTGGATTTACTTTATAGTTCTCACCTAACGTTACTTTAAAAGACAAGTTATTAAAATCTAACTTTCCCTGCAATGTTTCCACTATAGCTCCGGGGCAGTTTTCATCCTTTATCAATTTCTGTAATTGCATTTTAACTATATGTTGACGTTCTGATAAAGTACAAGATTATTACAATTTAATAATAAAAAATATTTGTTGCAAATTACCTTTCAGTGTTAACTTTTGAAAATATGCAAAAAAATAGAATAAATAAAAAGTTTTTGTTATTAAATTTACTCTTAAAATATTTTATATTTAATAATATTACTATAATAAACTGAATGCGAAAATGTGCCTGTGTGTGTAAAAACAGAATAGGAATCTACATATAGAATTTGTTATTTAATCTATTTTGATTTTTGAAAAAGCGTTCGACTCAATTTCTTGAAGTGTATTTGGATATGCATAACATCGGTATCCCAGAAGAAAGTAAATCTCTCTGATACGCAGCAGCTACAACAGTTCTGAATGTGCAATGATGCATGAAGGTAAAGTGTCGGATATTTTTATTGCAATGTCTGGAGTAAGGCAGGGGTGTATATTGTCACCCGAGCTGTTTTTAATCGCTATCGATGCTGTTCCTAACGAAAATAATAGCCGTGGCATTGTATGGAGTTCTTTAGACCCAAATGACCCACTAGAATCTTTGCATTATGCAGACGATAAATGGGAATTGGCACATCCTTTAACCGATATGTAGCGAAGACTTCAAAATCTGGAAAAAATGCTAATTCTCGAACTTAAAAGCCAAATTGTGGAACAAGTAAATGAATTTCAATACTTGGGAAGTGTAGTAGTTATTGATGGTGGCACTATACATACGAGACATGAGTACAAGAATACGAAAGACGATTGGCGTGTTTACAAAGAGGAACACAAAATGGAGATCTAACTTTTACAGGTTAACAACGAAAGTTAACCTTTTCAAAGCATGTGTTTTATCCGTACTGCTATATGGTTGCGAAACATGGCTCGTAACCGAGATAATTCAAAACAAAGTGCGTGCGTTGGTAACCCGTGCTTAAGGAAAATTTTACGCATCTTTTGCCCACACCGAATTTTAAACCAATAACTGTGGGACAGAACGAATACAAATGACATCAACATGAATATCCGTAAGAGAAAGTTTGGCTGGATTGGTCACACCCTACGAAGTTTGTTTTCAAGCCCTTACGTATAATCCGCAAGGCAGTAGAAGAAGAGGTAGGCCTAAGATTACCTGACGCAGATCAACACTAAACGAAATTGACAGCTAATCTGCACACTTTGGCAGATCATACATCAATATCGTTGAGCTCAGAGAAGTGGTAGTAAAAAGGAAAAGCTGGACGTAATTTGTAGATAGCTTATGCCTAGTATAGAGACAGCTTGGAATCATGTGACGCCATTCTTAATATATATTTAATTAACTTAACTATAGAGACGATTAAAGTAAAGACGAAATTAGAGTATATTAAGGTAGTAAATGATATTAAAGTATATATATAATCATTACTAAGTTGTTTAAACATTGATAATAATAAAATCGCTGTTTCTTAATATGTACCTGTTTATTTTTTATACATGTTTATTATTTTACTTACTTTTTTACAAGCCAAATCCATTTCTTGAGGGCACTAAAACCATTAATAAGATTAGTTAAATTATTTATAATATATAAATATAAATATAAAATTATTTTAGTATCTAAATTATTTAAAACCCTGTATTAAGTAAATTATTGTAATTTTTGGTAAAAATCTAATTAGATACACAAGGTATTCAGGTTCAACATATTTTATGGGCGGATTTTGTTTATAGACACAGATTTTCACAGAAATTGACGTCATAGTCTTTGATTTGGCTGAATGAAATAAAAAGACCCGTAACTTTTTTCTTTTGAAATAATAAGAACCGAATTTTAAAAAAAAATTTTTTGATTTATTTTAAAAGATGGAATTTTGGGATTTTAATTTTGGGCCGTATCTTAAGCCATTTGAATGGTACCGACTTTAAGTTGACATAGTTTTAATAATAATTAATTAAAGAGGCTATAAATTGTTCCACAGGTAAAATTATTTTTATTTTATTTATAATATAAACAGTTAATTTGAAAAAAAAATTTTTTTTACTATATAATGAACTATATAGTTTACTATATAATCAAGAATTATAATACCATCCTGAATTAATTAATAAAAATTAATTAATTAATCAAATTATACATATGTTCTTGTGAAACATATTTCGATAAAAGTATTTATATTTTTATAGTAATTGATAATTTATATTTATTTATATATTTATTATATAAATAATAATTTCATTATAATATATAATATATGTTATTATTTATAATATATATATATTTATTATATTTTTGATTTGAATTTATTAAATTATTTGAAAATAAAACTGAAGCAAAAAAGTCTGGACTATAGAGATAATAATGAAGATTACATTCATACTTCATGGTGTTCAAAATATTGGAATGTTTGGATTATTAAGTATCTTCATTATCGACAGTATACTGCATATAGCGAAATTTCTTTTTATTATGTTCGACAAATCTATTATTTTTAAATCAAATAGCTTATAAAAAAATTATAGCAATAATATTACAGTTACATAAACATTTTTTCCAATTGAAGCATTATTATTGTTAGGGAATGTGGCACTGTGACCGTCGGGTCTATTGTATTCCCAATTGAAATATAAATTAAATTAAAACTTACCTTCTGCTTACAATCAAATTCTAAAGCTTTTTTTGAAGAATTCTTTCCAGCTTGGTTACGTTCTTCTGGAGGCGGTGAACCCTGTAATGTATTTTTATATAAATAAAATGTATATCAAATTTTAATAAATCTAGAATCCGTGTTAGAATAATGTTATAGAATACCACAAATTAAAATGAAAAACATTAATATTTTGTATATAAGAATATATAATATGCATTATAAGAAAAGGCACACTTCACCATAATATTTATAGACCAATTTCGCTGAGAAAAGTAGAGAAATAGAGTTGTTGCGTCTAAAGTGATGACAATATATTTGTGTTACTTATATAGAATCTATACTTTCAATCTATACTTTTTTAATTTTAGAAAATAAGAATTTCATGTTTGCAATAAATTTACTACTAAGGATGGAAGTTTTTGCCTTTGACTTTATTTCAAAAATTCATTCCCCTTTCTTTCAAAAAGAGAGAAAGATTTAGATATATAGAAAGAGATATTACTTTTTTTAAAGTAATATGCGGATAAATATAATTTTTGTATTAACAAATTTTTAATTGACGGTAACAGTTTTGATTATGTAATGTCATGAAGCTAAACTCACCTTTTCACCGCAGCCAGATGGAGAATTCTTTTTCGACGGATTTTCACCACATTTAGATTGCTGTTTCTTGTCATCACATTTTTCAGGTGTAGCCTATCATATGAATAAGTTAAATTATTATTGTTTTATTATAATTGAAATATATATATTTCTTAATTCAGTACCAATTATATTAAAAATTTTTTTATTTGTTCATTTAAAAGCTAAAATTTTTGCTGTCATATGTATTTGTATTATATTTATATTGATAAATTTTCCCATTACTAAAAACTTATTTATGAACTTCATTATTAATTGTACTTAAAGCTAAACTCACCTTTCCACCACAATTAGTTTGTGAGCTCTTTTTCGATGAACTTTCACCACATTTAGATTGCTGTGTTGGATTGCTGGCACTTTTTTCTGGTGTAGACTGTAAAGTAAATAAGTCATATTATCTTTGTTTTATCATAGCTATTAGTTAAAAGATATATATTTCTAAAAGATATAATTATTTCACCCCATCGCAATCAGATGGTGATGTCTTCCAAATGTAAACTTAAACTCACCTTTCCACCACAACCAATTTGAGGACTTTTTTTCGATGGATTAATACTATTGTTTAATTGCTGTTTATTGCCACCACTTTTTTCCGGTGTTGACTGTAATGTGAATAGGACATATTATTCCTGTTTTATTATAGTAAAAAATTAGGATATATATCTACTTAGTTTAGAACAAATTGTTTTAAAAATTATTTCATATGTCGATTGAAATGCAAAAATTATTTTTACACATAACAGAAGTAACTACCTTTGTTTTATTATAGATTTAATTTAAAAAATTCGTGTTTCTGAATTCAGTACCAATTATATTAAAAACAATTCAATTGACTGCAATAGATTATTGACTCAAATGCAGAATTTATTTCTGTTGTATGTATTTATATTCATAAATATTACCTTCCTACCACGATCAGATTTTGAAGTCTTTTCTATATAAAGTTAGACTCACCTTTCCACCACAACCAATTTGAACACTCTTTCTCGGTGAACTCTCACCACAGTTAGATTGCTGTTTATTGCCACATTTGTCTGATGCAGACTGTAATGGATATAAGTTATAAGATCTTTTCATAAATAAATTTAATTTTATTCTGTTCCAACTCGATTGTATTACACATTCTTTTAAATTACTTTAAGCGCGGAAATATTTTAATTATAATTAATTACATTTATAAATAATCAAGTTACCTTTTGATCACAACCAATTTGCACACTTTTTCTTGAGGAATTTGCCAGAGATTGGTGTTGTTTAAACTGCTCAAAGCTATCATCTAAGGACTATAATGTAAATCATAATAAGTTTTTGTATCAAAATCAAAAGTGAGGCTTCAATACGCTGTTAATTATTTATATAAAGAATTAATTTAAATGGAGTTATCCAATGTGTGGGTATAGATGGTAACAGCTTAGCCATTACTTAATGCTTGCCAAGACATTTCAAGGACTCGAGGGTTTGATTATTGCTTAATTAAATACAATTCTTTGAGTAACTTAATAATGAAATTTTCGGTTCGGAAAACATAAATTACAAATCAAAAAAATTTGTAGGAAAACTTTGCTATAACAGTACCATTCTTTTAAGACCACATATTTTCCATATCTATATGTTATATATAATATCAAACACAATAAAATAATTATCATGTGGTTTGTGTAACACATTATTTATAAAAAGTATGGACCTATCACACTCCCAAATTAAAATTAGATAACACAAATGGTCTTTTGACAGTTACTTGTAGATTTTTATTGCTTCAGCTGTGATAATTTTATATAATGATGTATCCAGCAAGTGAAAATTATTTTCTTACATATTAAAGTAAACAAAACTCACCACTTCATCACAACCAATTTGAGGACTTTTTTTCGATGAACTCTCACCACAGTTAGATTGCTGTTTATTGCCACACTTTTCCGATGCAGACTGTTATGAAAAAAAGTTATATCTCTTTGTATTAGAACAATTATAAATAAAAAGATTAATGTTCTTATGACATTTATTTTATTCTGTTTGAGCTCGATTGTATTACACATTCTTTTAAATTTTAAGTGCGGAAATATTTTAATTATAATTAATTACATTCATATATAATTAAGTTACCTTCTGACCACAACCAATTTGTACACTTTTTCTTGAGGAATTTGAAAGATTTTGGTGTTGTTTAAACTGTTCAAAGCTATCATCTAAGGACTATAATGTAAATCATAATAAGTTTTTATATCGAAATCAAAAGTGAGACTTCAAAACGCAGTTAATTATTCATGTAATAAATTAATTTAAATGGAGTTATCCAATGTGCGGCTAGAGATGGTAACAGCTTAGCTATTACTTCATGTTTGCCAAGACATTTCAAGAAGTCGTGGGTTTGATTCTTCTTTAAATAAATACAATTTTTGAGTAACTTAATAATGAAACTTTCAGTTCGGAATTTAGTGTTTAATACACACTATGAAAACGTAAATTACACATCAAAAAAATTTGTAGGGAAAATTAGCTTTAACTGTAGCATTCTTTTAAAACCTCATATCTTTCATATCTATATCTTAAATATAATATCAAAAACAATAAAATAGTTATCATGTGGTTTGTGTAATAAATTTATTATTTATTAAAAGTATAGGCCTATCACACTCCCAAATTTAAATTAGACTACACAAATGGATTTTTGACAGTTACTTTTAGATTTTTATTGCTTCAGCTATGACAATTTTATATAATGATATATCCACCAAATGAAAATAATTTTTTTACATATTAAAGTAAACAAAACTCACCTCTTCATCACAACCAACTTGAGGACTTTTTTTCGATGAACTCTCACCACAGTTAGATTGCTGTTTATTGCCACACTTTTCCGGTATAGACTGTTATGAATAAAAGTTATATCTCTTTGTATTAGAACAATTATAAATGAAAAGAGTAATATTTTTTATGACATATTTATTTTATTCTGTTTCAGCTCGATTGTATTACACATTCTTTTAAATTACTTTAAGCGCGGAAATATTTTAATTATAATTAATTACATATAATTACATATACATATAATATAATTATATATAATAATATATATATAATTATAATTAATATAATTATAATTATATAATTATAATTATAATTAATATAATTATAATTATTAATATAACATATAATTTATATATAATTAAGTTACCTTCTGACCACAACCAATTTGTACACTTTTTCTTGAGGAATTTGCCAGAGATTGGTGTTGTTTAAACTGTTCAAAGCTATCATCTAAGGACTATAATGTAAATCATAATAAGTTTTTGTATCAAAATCAAAAGTGAGGCTTCAATACGCTGTTAATTATTTATATAATGAATTAATTTAAATGGAGTTATCCAATGCGTAGGTATAGATGGTAACAGCTTAGCTATTACTTCATGTTTGCCAAAACATTTCAAGAAGTCGAGGGTTTGATTCTTGTTTAAGTATATACAATTCTTTGAGTAACTTAATAATGAAACTTTCAGTTCGGAATTTAGTGCTTAATACACACTATGAAAACGTAAATTACACATCAAAAAAATTTGTAGGAAAACTTAGCTTTAACAGTACCATTCTTTTAAAACCACATATCTTCCATATCTATATCTTTAATATAATATCAAAAACAACAAAATAGTTATCATGTGGTTTGTGTAACAAATTTATTATTTATAGAAAGTATAGGCCTAGCACACTCCCAAATTTATGTTAGACTACACAAATGGACTTTTGACAGTTACTTTTAGATTTTTATTGCTCCAGCTGTGGCAATTTTGTATAATGATATATCCACCAAATGAAAATTATTTTCTTACATATTAAAGTAAACAAAACTCACCTCTTCATCACAACCAATTTGAGGACTTTTTTTCGATGAACTCTCACCACATTTAGATTGCTGTTTATTGCCACACTTTTCCGATGTAGACTGTTATGAAAAAAAGTTATATCTCTTTGTATTAGAACAATTATAAATGAAAAGATTAATGTTTTTATGACATTTATTTTATTCTGTTTCAGCTCGATTGTATTACACATTCTTTTAAATTACTTTAAGCGCGGAAATATTTTAATTATAATTAATTACATTCATATATAATTAAGTTACCTTCTGACCACAACCAATTTGTACACTTTTTCTTGAGGAATTTGCCAGAGATTGGTGTTGTTTAAACTGCTCAAAGCTATCATCTAAGGACTATAATGTAAATGATAATAACTTTTGAATCAAAATCAAAAGTGAGGCTTCAATACGCTGTTAATTATTTATATAATGAATTAATTTAAATGGAGTTATCCAATGTGTGGGTATAGATGGTAACAGCTTAGCTATTACTTCATGTTTGCCAAGACATTTCAAGGACTCGAGGGTTTGATTATTGCTTAATTAAATACAATTCTCTGAGTAACTTAATAATGAAATTTTCGGTTCGGAAAACATAAATTACAAATCAAAAAAATTTGTAGGAAAACTTTACTATAACAGTACTATTCTTTTAAGACCACATATTTTCCATATCTATATGTTATATATAATATCAAACACAATAAAATAATTATCATGTGGTTTGTGTAATATATTTATTATTTATAGAAAGTATAGGCCTATCACACTCCCAAAATTTAATTTAGACTACACAAATGGACTTTTGACAGTTACTTTTAGATTTTTATTGCTTCAGCTGTGACAATTTTATATAATGATATATCCACCAAATGAAAATTATTTTTTTACATATTAAAGTAAACAAAACTCACCTCTTCATCACAACCAACTTGAGGACTTTTTTTCGATGAACTCTCACCACAGTTAGATTGCTGTTTATTGCCACACTTTTCCGATGTAGACTGTTATGAAAAAAAGTTATATCTCTTTGTATTAGAACAATTATAAATATAAAGATTAATGTTTTTATGACATTTATTTTATTCTGTTTCAGCTCGATTTTATTACACATTCGTTTAAATTTTAAGCGCGGAAATATTTTAATTATAATTAATTACATTTATATATAATTAAATTACCTTCTGACCACAACCAATTTGTACACTTTTTCTTGAGGAATTTGCCAGATTTTGGTGTTGTTTAAACTGTTCAAAGCTATCATCTAAAGACTATAATGTAAATCATAATAAGTTTTTATATCGAAATCAAAAGTGAGACTTCAAAACGTTGTTAATTATTTATATAATAAATTAATTTAAATGGAGTTATCCAATGTGCGGCTACAGATGGTAACATTTCAAGAAGTCGAGGGTTTGATTCTTGTTTAAGTATATACAATTCTTTGAGTAACTTAATAATGAAACTTTCAGTTCGGAATTTAGTGCTTAATACACACTATGAAAACGTAAATTACACATCAAAAAAATTTGTAGGGAAACTTAGCATTAACAGTACCATTCTTTTAAAACCACATATCTTCCATATCTATATCTTAAATATAATATCAAAAATAATAAAATAGTTATCATGTGGTTTGTGTAACAAATTTATTATTTATAGAAAGTATAGGCCTATCACACTCCCAAATTTAAATTAGACTACACAAATGGACTTTTGACAGTTACTTTTAGATTTTTATTGCTTCAGCTGTGACAATTTTATATGTAATGATATATCCACCAAATGAAAATTATTTTCTTACATATTAAAGTAAACAGAACTCACCTCTTCATCACAACCAACTTGAGGACTTTTTTTCGATGAACTCTCTCCACAGTTAGATTGCTGTTTATTGCCACACTTTTCCGATGTAGACTGTTATGAAAAAAAGTTATATCTCTTTGTATTAGAACAATTATAAATGAAAGGAGTAATATTTTTTATGACATATTTATTTTATTCTGTTTCAGCTCGATTGTATTACACATTCTTTTAAATTTTAAGCGCGGAAATATTTTAATTATAATTAATTACATTTATATATAATTAAATTACCTTCTGACCACAACCAATTTGTACACTTTTTCTTGAGGAATTTGCCAGAGATTGGTGTTGTTTAAACTGCTCAAAGCTATCATCTAAGGACTATAATGTAAATGATAATAACTTTTGAATCAAAATCAAAAGTGAGGCTTCAATACGCTGTTAATTATTTATATAATGAATTAATTTAAATGGAGTTATCCAATGTGTGGGTATAGATGGTAACAGCTTAGCTATTACTTCATTAGCTTTAACTGTACCATTCTTTTAAAACCACATATCTTCCATATCTATATCTTAAATATAAAATCAAAAATAATAAAATAGTTATCATGTGGTTTGTGTAACAAATTTATTATTTATAGAAAGTATAGGCCTATCACACTCCCAAATTTAAATTAGACTACACAAATGGATTTTTGACAGTTACTTTTAGATTTTTATTGCTTCAGCTGTGACAATTTTATATGTAATGATATATCCACCAAATGAAAATTATTTTCTTACATATTAAAGTAAACAGAACTCACCTCTTCATCACAACCAACTTGAGGACTTTTTTTCGATGAACTCTCTCCACAGTTAGATTGCTGTTTATTGCCACACTTTTCCGATGTAGACTATTATGAAAAAAAGTTATATCTCTTTGTATTAGAACAATTATAAATGAAAGGAGTAATATTTTTTATGACATATTTATTTTATTCTGTTTGAGCTCGATTGTATTACACATTCTTTTAAATTTTAAGCGCGGAAATATTTTAATTATAATTAATTACATTTATATATAATTAAGTTACCTTCTGACCACAACCAATTTGTACACTTTTTCTTGAGGAATTTGCCAGAGATTGGTGTTGTTTAAACTCTTCAAAGCTATCATCTAAAGACTATAATGCAAATTATTATCAGTTTTTATATAAGAATTACAAGTGAGACTTCATAAAGCTATTAATTATTCATGTAATAAATTAATATAGATAGAGTTATCCAATGTGTGGGTATAGATGGTAACAGCTTAGCTATTACTTCATGTTTGCCACGATATTTGAACTACTCGGGAGAGGAGTCAATATTTTGATGATTATAAGGTACTAGAATATTCCCGAGGTAAGGAATGCCTGTCGTAAGAGGCGACTAAAGTCCTCGCGGCAATCTGACATGATTTGGAATGTGAATGCTAATGAATGATATTAATTTGCTACATCTGACCGGTGGTGTAAATATGGTACCACGGGAATCAAACATTGTCGTGCTGGCTGTGGTTAAAGCCAAAATTATACGGTAAGAATGATTGTATTTTACTTTCATTCGTTTTGGAGTTGCGTTTTTAATCATGCTAAGTAACATTGAATTCTGTTCACGTTACTACAATCTTTTACGTGACTAAGTAATAAATACTTCAGTTTAGAGTTTTGTGGTTAATATACATTATAAAAACGTAAGATTACTCATCAAATATATTTATCGGGAAACAAAGGTAACAAAACTATTCTGCTGAAATCACATATCCTCCATATTCATGTCTTTAATATCAGGTCAAAAAAAATTATTACGTTTTCGATTATTTTTATGTCACATTAGTTCTATTCTGTTCCAGTTCGATTGTATTATATATTGTTATTAATAGCTTTAAGCGTGAAAAAATTTTAAATATATATATTTATATAAAATTAAGTTACCTGTAGATCACATTCAATCTGAACACTTCTTCTTGAGGAATTTAACAGAGATTGGTGTTGTTTAAACTGTTCAAAGCTATCATCTATGGACTATAATTCATAATTATTTTTTATATAAGAATCATAAATGAGACTTCAAAACGCTAGTTATTATTCATGTTAAAAATAAAAATAAATATATAGAGTTATCCACTATGTGGCTACAGATGGCTACAGCTTAGTTATTTTTTCATGTTTGCCAACACATTTACAGTAGTCGAGAGAGGAGTCAGTATTTTAATGATTGTAAGGGGTAATTTTTTTAATCGAGATTCTGTTTTAATGCACTTTTAGTACAATTTTATTTTCGAAAATATCGGGTAAAATATATAACATTCGATATTAATTTATAATACTCTATATGTTTTGCCAGAGTAGCAAGAATACATTGATAATTGCTGTTTTTTAACAACTCTGAATGAAAAAATAGGTTAATTAGGTTGCTAATAAGTTAGGTTGCTGTTTCTTAAACTCAAATTTTTTCAGTGTTGGCTGTAATGTATATAGATATACAATGTCTTAATATATATAGATATAACCCTTTGTAACTGCATTTATATGCATTATTAGATAAAATATATATGTGTGTAATAATGGAGAGTTATTGTCAAGACAATATAAAAAAATTACTGATCAATTACAACAGAATTAATTACTTGCGTAAATTGAACTTACCATCCCAGTACAATCGGCATGTGAAACCCTTTTAGACGTATTTTCTCCAGAGTCGCATTGTTGTTCACAATTATCCTGTTCTGACTGTTATGTGTATATAGTTACATTAGTTATATATATTCTAGTTTTATTTGCATACATTTTAAATAGAATTAATATTAATTAGCACCGATTTAGTTTCAACACTTGTCGAAAAAGTTATAAGTCGACTATAACAGATTAAATTACTTCTGCAGATTAAACTCACCGTTTCATCATAATCAATTTGTGGACGTTTTTCGCATGGATGTTTTCCACATTGGCATTCCTGTTTATAACATTCACATGTTCCCGGCGTAGATTGTGGCTGTAATATTGTGATATATCTTATATTTATATAATAATTATAACTTAAAAGATAAATGAGCATTTTGCGTTAAATTCTTTATAATTCAGTGCAGATTTATTTGAAAATTATTTAACTGTGGTTTATTACATTCTTATGTTTGTTCTGTAGGCTGTTATGTTAGATTATAACTTAATATTAATATTACTGTTAAGAAAAGAACTACATGTAAGAATAATTTTATTATAAATATTTTGTAAAAAACTAAATATTAAATAATATAAAAAAAATTATTTTGAATTATATGCATATATTTATTAATTACCTTTCTGGTAATAGATGAACGATGATGTGCCTAAAATTAAAAATTTCTTGTATTATTATAATAATAAGAAAATCTTGCTTTTTTTAATGATAAATTGTTTATTTACATTGTGCGTCGATATAATTTTTACAGTCGAGATACCTCAATGAAAATAAATATCTCATTTAAATAAGTTTTTAAAATTATGTAAAAATTTTTTTTTATGTTTTTAGCATGTTATGCATATTATTCCCCACAAGTAATAATCTGCTTCTTAATAAATTAACGACTGATATTCTCCCATTATATACAGTTTTCACATTCTGTTAATCAAAGCTTTCTTAATTCGGAGTCCATTTCAAAAATGGCTCCTTAAGAAGTTCTTTTTAGGACTTTTCCTTCTTTCTTTCCTTTTTTTCCCCTTTAGAATTAAGGCAATTTGCCGATTATTGAGAAAAGACTTTACCAAGTTGTGTTAATGTATAATTGGATGTTTTTCTTCCTGTGTAAAAATACGTTGTGATATATATTTTTGTTCTAATATAAGATTCTTACTATTATAATGTTCTCTTTTACGAATGATAGATTACGAATGATAAAAATCTAGATTATGATGGTCTTATAGTGTCAAGCAAACAGTAATAAGAGAAATCTCACTAGGGTAATGAAAGTACAACTGACTGGTTTTCTTATGATCTATAGAAAACATTGTTACCAGAATAGGATTTTTTCAAAATATTTACTATTATAGCTCTCTGCTTTCTGCAGACATTGAGCAGTTACAATAATCATACAGAATCTTCTATTAACAAATTTTAGAGGTAACATAACTGCGTATACTGGATGTAACCTTGGACTTATGTCATCAAATAATGACTGCATCAAATTGCCTAGTATATTGGCTTGTAATTATTATCCAATTTGTTATTATAAATCTTTCTTCATATAATTATTTTGAAAAATAATTTTCACGTGGATATTATTGTTTTAGTGCATATCTTTTAAGTTTTGGTTTGGATTAAGCGTAGATTGTAGGTCGTGGTATATGTACAAAAATAACACATATTTTCTTTACTCGGTAATAAGAACTATTTTTATTAAATTTTTAATTTAGTAATAATGAATTATTCACACATTTTTAAAAAGAAAATGTACTTACTCACATACTACATTATTTGTATAAATAGCACCTATATAATATTACAACCGCATAAATATTATAATGATGTTGAATTTATATAGTAAAATGTTTCGTTTAGATAAGAATTTATTTTAGAAAATTTTACTATTTTTTATTTAATAAATCTGGAATTTATTTTATTAAAAAAAATTTTAAGTATTCTATATACTGAACACTGTGGATACTTTTTATCTAACAAAGTATCGCATAAATTATTTGGAAGTGTGATATAATCTGGATATCTCTATTCTTATTAAAATAAAAATAGATTTTGTCATTGTGTATAGTATGCAGAGCCATGTTATGTAGACAGTTGTGGTTCGATTAAAATTTGGTCACGGTGACGAAGTTTTTTATACCTCGTCATGTTAGTGGAAGCAGTGTTCACTAATTTGTCAAAAATTATTCTTTTTATAAAAACATATTTAAGTTTTTATATGGGTATTTGAGAATATATATACAATTAATATTTACTTTTATATTCAAACACAACTCAATGTTAAGATAATAACATTATGAAAATGAGAATTTCCATTAATATGAATATTAGTGCCCAGATAGAGTGTAAATTTGAGATTAATATTCGTCCTAATTATTCCTTTCTTAAAGTATTATAATTTTTATTATTAAACTCTATAAAAATCCTATAATTTAAAACATGATTAAAACATGATTTAAGTTGCAAAAGTTTTAGGTACTTATACTGCATCGATTGAAAAGTCACAAGATTGACATGTAGATGATGTCTCTATTGAAAAATTGATTTGGGTTTATAGAGAGTGGTTGCCTTCAGAGAATCATCTTTCGAATATCATTGCAGTTCGACATTTAGTTCAGAAAATGAAGGGGTTTTGTAATGCTACTTTTTAGTTATTTTTGAAATCGATGTAAAGAAATTTTGTGTTTTGAATTTTCACTGCTTTTGATTGGGAATAGTTACCGCTAATTACAGTGATAAGTATTATTCAAATTTTACTCAATCAAAAGCAATTGTTGAACATTGCTTGTGAGACTTTAACCCTGGTTGTTTACACACACCCCGCTCTGGTCTCTCAAATGAGACAGTTATATCGAAAAATATCAAAAAAAAAAGCCATAAAATTGTATTGGAAAAGCATAAAAAGAATTTGTAGGAGATAACATGAGAAAGTTGCTTTCGAAATGAATGCCGTGTTAGCTTACAGTTGATCACAATTGTCGGCTGTTCAAATAACTGTTTGGAACTGTTTAAGTGAAATAAATTCGCGAAATTTTATACATTGAAAATGGATGAAACATGGATCCATTACTTTACTTCAAGGTGAAAATAGTAATAAACTGAGTGGAGAGTAACCGTAAAGGTGGAGAGTAAAGGTGTCCAAAGCCAGTTAAAGCGCAACAATTAGCTGATAAAGTACGTAAAGTAATAAAAATCGACGGGCTTGAAAACGGAAAAAGTTTTAATTGCGAATATTATATATTGGACAGTTTGAAGGACGAAATAACTGCTCCAAATGAAGAAAAAAGTATTTTTTTTATTAAGAAAATAAACTATATCAGAACCACATTGCACCAACTTCACCTTTGAATTACTTTTGCATCCACCGTATTTGTCAGATTTGGTTCTCAGTGACTACCATCTGTCAACAGACACTTAAAAAATTGCTTTAAAGCAATATGATATTTGTTTAATAAAGAAGTTCTCGCCGACTGTTAGAGAGAAATTTTTCTTTAAGAGCGGTATCGGAATTATAAAGAAATTTAGAAACGAGTGTATTGCTTCAGATTGAAACTATGTTAAAGAATAAAAACGAATTCTGTCAAACAGTATGTTTTATTGCTTATCCGTGGGTCTCTTCAGTCGATATTTTATATTATATATATTTTATTAGGTGTGCACGATTTATAATTATTTAAATGAAACTAAAAAATATCCAAAAGTTGTATGGAAAATAGGATTTCCGAAAATATAAGAGATTTTACATAAAAGGGATTAGCTTTAAATCATCAAAAATTTTCGAGCTCATTCAAGTTCCATAACATGGTACTTATCAAATTAAAGGATGTTTAATCGATTGATATATGACATAAGCTATTTTACTTAAAGGTATTAATAATTTTTTAAACCATTTTGTACTGATATATATAGAGAAAATAGATCCCCATCTCTCATACGCTTTTACCTCTCCTGGGAACAAGGTAATTACCTCCTGTATCTATGTTAATTTATTAGGAAACATTGTGTATATAATATCTGATATAACAAGTTTATGTATACCTGCTTGTTGTTACCAGCTGGAGCATCGTTCATGTTTCTACCTCTTCGATTTTGTGGGTTCTAAAATTTATTAATTGTTGTGCAGTATTAAAGTTTGGGCTGTCTTAACAATACGTAAATAACTATATATTTGATGTATCATATTTACAAAAACTCTCTGAAATAGAAGATTGAAATAATTAGTAACTTATTAAAAATGTGTTAGAAAATATATTTTTACCGTTGAGGATAAGGCCGAACTAGTGATTAAACTAACTGAAAAAGGTTGATCATCAAATGCTTCTTCATCTTCTTCTTCCTCTCCAGTGCATAGATCTGCACTCTAAAATTTTTTTAATGTTTTGCAAAAAAAAATTTAAAATTGCGTTATTTATTAAACGTTTAATATTTCACATTAAAGTTAAAAAGAAAGACAATTATAGTTATGTCGTATTTCAATTAATACAGTGCTGATAGACCGGTTTTTCGAGAATTTTTCCAACAAAGGAATATTTTTGTAAAAAAAATTATTGCAAAAATGATAGAAAAAAACAGCTATTAAGTTTCAATCGCTTCAAATACATATTACAATTAGAAAATACTACTTGAAGCAGTATAATTATTATTTGACTTTTACCTGGTCTCGCGTAAAAAAGCCGTCTTGTCTGTAACCTTCAAGTATACGATCAATATCTTCCTCCGAAAATGGTAGCTATAAAAAATATTATATTTATTTAACTTAATGAACTGGATTTTTAAGCTTGTTAAATTTTGTTTATTAACCTCTTCATCACAATCCTCAATTGCGAGGTTCTGCATTGGCTCGTCCGAGGCTCCTGCTATAACAATAGCCTAATTTGTATAAAAATAAGTAATAAATTCTTCATTATATAGGACATAGGAGTTAAATATTTGATTACATCGGTAGGTTCCACAAAGGTCATCCCACTGAAATCAGCTGTAGTTTCAAAATCTGCTTTATAAAGAAGTGGATGCCATGTGTGATCTTTCGGGGGACTAAATGACTTAATAAGAATTTATTTATATCGTATATTCGTATAAGTAATTATAAATTTTTTACATACTTGATAAAGTTTTCGATTTAGCTATGTAAAAAAAATGTACAATAATATAATTTTACATATATGTATGTCATATGACTTTACCACTGGGGATAATGTGTTATTATATGTTGTATTCTGATAGTCATTTATTCTGAAACGACTACTCGACTAAAAAATAGAAAATATAATTATTAAAAAAAAATAACAAATGGAATTCTTTTTTAAAAAGCTTTTTTGATTTAAACTAATGGCATTTTCAATTGGTAAGTCTAGGGTAATTTTTTTCAATTGAGATCCTCTTTTAATGTATTTTTATTGCAATTAGCACTCTACATATTTTGTTAGAGTAATAAGATTACCCTGTAAAACAGCTGTTTCATATCATTTGACATATAATGTGTGATTAGATTCGATATATGTGTTTATAAAAAAAAAAACTAACCACTAGTACCATTACAAAAATGTTAGATTATTTTGCAAATGTTCGATTGGGCTACAAAATTTGACAAATCGAGAGTAAATCTAAATTGAATCCAGATTTACCAATCGATAACGCCATAAATTTATTGTATGAATGTTATTTTCATAATTACATTAATTAAGTAAGTTCTGAAATTAATCAGTAGGTAACCTTACTTATTCAATATATATATAACTTTTTAAAAGTGATAATGCTATGTTCATTCACACCTTAAAAATCTTAATTATATTTTCATTTTAGCGGAATTCAATTTTTTTTTCCATATAAAATACAGTTTTAAGGTTAGAATGAAATTGAGGAAAATTGCCTTTATTTCGTTGAAACGAGGGCTTAAATTAGGGGCATTTGAAATGAACCTATGCGTAAGATAAATTTTAATCAAAAGATATAGTTGAGATAACGAAAAAGTGATATTTTTTTAAAATAAATGTCAATGACAGTTGACTTTAATAAAACTAGGAAAATATATTGAAAGTAGTGCAAATATTTTAATTTGAATATAGAGAAAAGACTGTAATTGTTATTAATTTATAATAATAATTCATGTATCTAAAATCCACTATAGCTAATAAAAATACTGAATGCCTTCCTTATAGTTATCATAATCAACTTTTAAAATATCCCAGATACAAACGGTGTTTGGAGCATGTAATTTTTAACATTCGACTTGTAAGCAGAGCCTTAATTTTCTTAATTTAAGACAGTATGAACACTTTCGAAATTAACTTAATTTTTCATTGAGTAAATTAAGTATATTTAGCTGTCTGAACATAGTATAACTTTAAAATGATGAATAATTAAAACGAAACGTCTAATCTTACAATAGCAAACTATTGTAGATTTGGAAGCTAAAAGCGTAACGTCTAAATTTCCAGTACAAGTACCGACCTCTCTAGCGAGATCTTTACAATAACTTTAGCGTATAGCTTGCATATATATATATTTCGTATCTATTATGCATTATTTAGTATACCTAGAAAACACTATTTCGCAACATTATTATATATAATAATATTTTAGTACAAAAAATACTTAATTTATTTACTTAACAAAGTAAATAATGAGAATGCGATCTCTGTTTGATCTGAATTAAAAAACCAAAAGTTTAGATGATTTGGAGTGGTAGACAAAAAAAAAATTGTTTATATAAAAACATTGTTCTTAGGTAATAAGTTTTTGAACTTTTTGAAATGACGTATATTTTAAAAATTTTGATAATTACTGCAATTTGTAATTATTGGGTAGCGCCAAAAATATATATCATATACTTTTAGTGATAAAACAAAAAACTTTTTATTTTGGCAGCGGAGTTTTTTACTCTAATGCCACAATTTTCTTCTATTTTCATAGCAAAATCATTATTCCTTGATTGTAAATTGCTATATGCCAATATTTTATCATTAAAAAATAGGCGTTGGTGCTTTTCATAAGCCTGGTTCTATATCAGTAATACTTTTACAGAGATTGAAACAACAGATAATGAAAGGATTTTGCGATGGTCTTGTAAAATCACATTAATTGCTGATCTTAAAGATTAGTGAAATCATATCAGAGAAAAGTAACTTTAAACACACACACTTCTTCACTTAAAGTGTTCGATCCAAATATATATTCGCACTAGTAGAGCTACTAGATGCTCGAACTTTGCGAAGCACTGAATACTGAATACATACTGAATTAATATATTGTATCAAAGGGTCCTGAATACCTTTAAATATATTATTATTGAAATCTGTTATTTATTTTTTGTATAGAGTTGGAAAATTGTTTAAATATTACCGTATTTTGTTTATAACTAGAGTTTCTACGTTGTGGTGTCTGAAAAAAAAATTATTTAATTATTTTGTAAAAAATAAATATTACAATATTTTTAAAAATTTTTCACAGCAAAAATTTAAATACATAGTATTAGTAGTATTACCATAAGCCCAGTAAAATCATTGTGTGCATTTTGTTTGGACTGAAATGAAATCGTAATTATAACATTGCTTTAAAAATATATATTAATAAGTTTAAAATAATATAAATATAAATATTATTAGGCATATTCTTTTGAAAGCATATTACAAAAGAACAACATAAATTTAGCACTACTTGTGATGGCAACTCTAGAAAAAATGAAAATTTGTTTTGATGCCTGACGGGTTTATATATGCAAAAATAACAACTACTAAATACAAAAAATAACTACACAAAATATGAATAGTTAACAATAACATATGTTAACAGTTAATTGGAAATTTTGTATGTATTTCTAAAATTTATTCACAATAAACCAATTTTTAGTCTTGGCAACCATTTGATTTGAGATGCTTATCAGTCAAGCGGTTTCAAAGAAGTATAATTACAGCAGTGTTGTTGTTTCATATGTTAAAATAAGCGGTTGTTTTTTTACGGCATGCTTACAAAAAAATGTCTGTATACTTTATTATTAGAAATGATTAGTATAAAACTTATAATATTAAAAAAAGATTTAGCATATTCTTATATATCAAATTTTTCGAATATAATTATATTTTATATTTGGTATTTTTACCTTGGTTTCAACAAATTTAGTGCTTTTATTTGGTCGTGACTGAAATGAAATTAATTCATATTACTATCAATACAATTATTTTATGTAATATTATTAAATTTAATTAATTAAATTACATTTAATTTGAATATTATTAATAATATCTAATAATAATGTGAAGGATATTATAAAGTGAAGGAATTTTCAAATTCAAGGATTTGCTGAAGTTAGAATATTTGAATTTGAAAGTTTCCTCCCTATCAAACTATTTTATAATAATAATAACTATTTAATAAAAAATTTAATAAAAATCGCTTAAAATATTATATTTTATTTTTGGTATTGCTATATAATATATAATATATATATATAATATATAATATATATGATATATAATTACCATAGGTTGAGCCATATTTCGATTTGCTAAAATATTTTTACGTTCTTCTGACTAAAATAAAATTTTTATCAGTTTACTAGAAATGTTTTTATTTCATATATCGGGTGTTTTTCTAGCTGTGTGAGAGCTATCGTTAACGATAAATATGGTTTGATACTTGAGAACGTCACTTCTATTCAGTAACATTTAACAATTCATCATGAATCGTTTAACGCTAGAATAACTCTTCCAAATTGTGGAAATTTACTTTGAATTAAATAAATCTGTTCGCCGAGTTCATAGATCACTTCGTCTATTCGTTCACTTCGTAGGACAAAGTGTTCTATGAAGTGCTGTTCGTAGAACACTTCGACCACTAGGCTGGTTTTACATAATCAGTCTATTGATTAAGCAATTTATATAGTTATTGATCGCTTTCGCAACAATTTTACTCTTCTCGATTCAATATCATTAATAATATAAAGAAGTGTGCATACCTAAGAGAATATTGCTGCTGTAGCACGAAATATTCGAAGACAATACATCGAAGACATTTGGTTCGCAACCACATAAGCCATTTAGCGCGTTTAGCAATCGCTTGATTCCGAAATCAATTTGGTAACATCTTTATTTTCGGAAGTGGTCCTCTCGTTCGGGCGCTTTAACGTTTCTCGATTACTTTATATAGGAGTTTTTTAAGTCTCTTGAAATATATGAAGCTAATGTTTATGCCACCATTGTCCCCATACGGCCACATTTTTTGCAAAAAATAGTTAAAAATGACTGATCGCATAGGTCATATAACTCGTAGCCGCCGCGGTCAAACTTCCATGAATTAATCTACCAGATTATAAAAAAATTTTTTTCTACAAATATTTCTGTTTTTTAAGTTCTCATGCAGATAAAAAAAACACCCGATATAAAGTATAATATATTATAAGTATTACCGCATTTTGAACAAGAAAGGTATTCTTACGTAGTCCTGACTAAAAAAAATTATTATAACATTATTATTAATATTATTACTTATTAATAAATATTATAGATATATTATTATTAATATATATATACTATGTGCAATATTAAAATATATTACCTTTTTTTTCATGACTGAGAAATTGCCTTTCTTAGTTTCTGACTGAAATACAATTATGATTATTATGAATTGACGCAATAATCAAATTAATTACAAAATTCATTGCTTTTATTTAATTGTACTAAAATAATATGTATTTTTTTTATAAAATTATTATATTAAAATTACCGGCTTAGACGAAGTGCTTTTGTATGAATGCGGTATAGCCTGAAATAAATTATGATATGAATATTATAATTCAGTGCAAAATGCTTTTTAATTAATTTTTTATAAAATATATATGTTTATGTGAAATAGACAGATTACCGCATTTATTCGAATATCGTTGTCTCTATTTTCTTCTTCCTGTAACTGATAAGATATAATTTTATAGCAATAGTATAAATCAAAGTTTTTTACTATAAATGTATAGCTTAATTGAGCTATAATTAAGCATGAGGAGTTACCAAATAGAAATTTAATATGAATTTTTTTTTAAATTCTATTGTTATTATTCTATTAATATATTACATTTAATATAAATATATTACCATATAGGCTCTGTAATTTTCATAGCTAACTCCTCTAGCTCGACATGGTCTCGAAGATTTATATCCATACGTTAATCCAGTCTGTTAATAAGAAAGTAAATATGTTTTAAATAAACTTAAAATTAATATTTTTTATTTATTTATATTATATTTGTATTAAATTTATATTATATATATAAGTTTCAATAAATAAATTTGATAAGTTTTACTTGTGTGATGTTATTACCTTTTGGGCTGAACCGTTTTGGCATGTTCCTGCTGCTTGTCTCTAATAAATATACATAGATAAATCATCTGTATAATGCAATTAATACTTTTTCTACTACAAATACTTATTACCAATTGATCGCCGTAATTTGTTCTTAAATCCTGATAGGAAGTATACAACCTCAGTGTGGATGGTTTCTTAAAAAATATTTATTAATATAATTGTCTGTTTCTTAACACTCACTAAACAATGGATTATTTAATTTTCCATTTATTATAATACTTTTTAAAAATATAATGAATATAAATTAATAATGATGTTTTTGAATACATATTATTATTGAAATTATTTATTTTATAGTAACAAAAGTTTAATATAAAATACCTGTTTAGTTAGACTTGTGTGCGATTTTGCAAACGTCATTGATGTCTATATAAGTGTTCAAAATTGGATATTAACTTTAGGTTCTTATACTAATAATAATAAACTAATAATTATACGATTTTTTATTTTATAGATATCGAAAACTTTTATATTACCATTTCACAACTCCATTTTTTATTTAAATCTTCAAGTATAGTTGTTGATGATGTACTGTCTTCTGATTCGGACTATATGTATATAATAAGATTTTAGTTATATTTTTATTTATTTATGCTATAAACAAAATATTATTAGTACTTATGTAAAATTCATATATACACAATGTATATAAATAAATGTACTAACGCAAGTGTTACTCAACTATAACCATAATATTTGATTCACATAATCCCTCCAAACTCTTTAAACTATATTTATGAACACTTATTGATAAGAGTTGATTTAATCCTAAGTGCAGAGTAAATCTGGATCATATAACAATGATCACTTTTGCCAACGCTATAAACAATTACCGTTAGCGCAATATTTTTTTAGTATTAAATTAAAAAAAAATTAATTACATTTAATTTAAATTTAGCTTAAATGTGTATTATTTACTAATAACCTAAATAATAATGAGTTTTAAAAATCGCACAGGATAACATTTTTCTTACATCGGATAATAAACTTCGGACCATTTCTATTTTTAAACGCTTTCGAGGGCTTTCTTCATTATTGTTTTCGGGCACCTAAAATGCATTAGAACTTAATAGAAATATGCACAATTATATTAAATGACTACCTCTTGTAAAGTGAATTCATTATTTCGATGCATCTACAATAAAAATAAGTTTTTGTTAGTAAATAATAAATAATAAAGTTCGAACCTTCTAAGTATGACAAGAGATGCCTTCAAAAACTAGAGCCTACAAAAGAAATATTATTTATTATATTTAAACATATCTATTACAATAAATGCATACAAAATATATTCAATTTTATGACGACACTGTTAATAGGAGTCGTCAAAAATCAAATCAACGATTTGATGTGAAGAAACTCAAACTTCCAGCATTTGTGATTATTCTATTCAATAGGTTTACTTAAATAATAATAATATTTGTGTATATATTTAAATAATTTGACAGTTTAAAAAAACAAATGTTGACATTTATTACCGAACAACACTGCTTTAACTAAGTGACGAGGCACAGCGAGGTCTATGTTATGTAGAGTGTCACGGGGACGTCAAAATTGGCTTTTTCCGGTTATGATGAAGATGCATGTTATGCAGAGTGCTATATCAGTTTGACAATTTCGTATTTTTATTATTATTTTTGTATATTTTGGTTGTGCCCAATTTATAGGAAATATATCCAATATGGCTTTCACTGAGTGACGAGGCACAGATAGCCTCGGTGATATAGGTAAGTCTGTAAAATTTTCTGAAATTAACTTAAGCATTTGTTTAAAAAAAGTAGGAAATTATTAAAATTATGAAATTTCGCATCTCACTGATAAACATTGGACAACACAAAATCTTGGAAGCTGGCACTTCGTTCATAGAAATATTGAAAGGAACAAGATAGCGGACGAGCTGACCAGAAGAGATTTTGAAATACACATGAATCAAACCGCTTCATCGATACCAACCCTGTTGTGTGAAGTAGCCTAAAAGCAGCTTGTGTAGAAGCTTAGAAGAATTTAACATCTTGGACTAATCACAAAGACTGTAAAGTTGCCAGAACCGTATGGCTTAGTTTAGATACCAGTAAAACGAAATACCGTTTTCGCTCTAGCAAACTTGTAGTTTAATTAGTTATTGAAGTACGAACAGGCTCGGTGTCACGTCGTCTACACTAAAACTGGGACATATTCTCGTAAGTGTATTGTGCAGATGTAGATATGATGAAGAAAAGAAGGTATCCATTAATTATTTTCTATATCTTTGTTCGGAACTTTAGATGAAGCGACTTTAATTTTGAAGATCGTTTCTTGACAGAAAAAATAAAAATCGACCTATCAGATCTTCTCAGGTTTATCAGGAAGGCTAATTGGCTTTACAAGGACAACACGCGCAGTTAATAATTGTTTTTGTAACTTACTTTTTTATACAACTGCGATAATAATACAATTGGAAATAGATGTGTCCAAATGGAACTGCTGACAGTTATAGCAACACGTGTCCTCTTAAGCCAACCTAATCTATTACAGCTAAATGCTGCCGCAAGAGTCCAGATCAATGTTTTCCAGTAAGTTTTTTTGTGATAAATCTCAAGTAAAACTTTCAAAAATTCCTATTCGAGACTCATTTCTTGACAAGATAACATCCATTAAAACAATTTAAAACAAATATTTTCCAATTTTGTGCGTACTTCATATGAGAATATTTGGTGTTCAAAATGAACATGATAAGTTTAGTTACACTATTTTTACTAGACTAGTGCAAAACCGATGCGGTAGACGATGAAGCCGCATGAAGTAGTTCTGGACAAAAAAAAATGGAACTGATAAATGGATTCTTTATATTTTTTATATAACTTCATAGCAACCATTAATCGACTATTTCAATACTTCATACTTTATAGTATATTTATTTGTATATTGTAATCTCATTTAAATTCATGTCATTCTTAGCTCTACTGAGCTTGACTTTGATTGGGTTTTATTAGACCAACAACTATAAATAACTATAATAATTACTATCAATTACCTATAATAATCAATTACATCAGTCATCAATTACTAATCCATGGAATGTTTCAATTGGTTAATTCTATCACTATCGATACACTGTCAGCTGTCGTTTTTGGTTATATCAATCATTTAGGTACTATAAACAATAAATCTTGCTTAATCAAATTTTTGAAATTGTTTTGAACCAAACTATGATATGATGTATATTTATCTATATCTTCTTATAATGCTGTAAGCACATAACATACTCAATAGATTTTTTCTATTAAATTATTCTTCTCTTCATTTGAGTTAATATTTAGTTTGATTAGTTTTCAATAATGCTTCTTCATTGTAAAACCAATATTTAATGAAGGAAGATTGCTCAAGTAGAGAATTACTATTTTAAACATGCTAAAATTATTAATAAATAAAAGTAGTTCCAATATAATTATTGCTCAATATTATGTCTATTTTGTGAAACTATTGATTTTTATTTTAATTTTGATTATTTTAATCAGTTAGTAAAATGTATTGTAAAGTTATTGAAGGTACGCCTTTTTAGTAGATCCCATTATTTTTTTTTGTTATGTCCATATCCCCATTTTTTGTTTGAATTATTGACCCCCTTCGGCTGGTTTAGTATTGCCGGAATAAACTTTGATTTCAATATTTTCGCGTTGAAGAATACCATTATACAATTCTAGATCGAATGGTTTTGAATCAGCCTGTAAGGAGAAAAGACATTATGAGAAACAAAATGTAATATATATTTTAAGTTTATTTACCGACGACTGCGAAATACTATATATTTTATCAGCTTTTATAAACGACTTTAAGGCCCTGGTTAATTCCGTATTGTGTTGCGTTTTAAAGTAATCATCTACTAGTCTCATTTGTTCATCAACCCTAAATAAATTATTACAAAATTAATAATTTGTATTATATATTGCCCATTCTACATACACTGCTCCTGATCCATCTTTCACGTTTTCTATTTGTTCCTTGAAAATCATTTTCTTATCGTATCTATAACGTCTGATAAAAGCTTCTATTAATGTTATTGGCTCTGGAGATGGTAGTTCCCTTCTTATTTGGTCACCTTTTAGAGCTAAACTAAATGCTTTTTTATTAAAGTCAACTTGTCTATTTGTTGTATCTTGTATAGTGCCGGGGCAATAGTTATCCCTTATCAATTCCTGTGAAACTTTCGCTTCATATGACCTTAATTCCTCTTGTTCTTTTTAAACAAAGAAATGTAAACATTTTATTAGTAATAATTTATTAAAAAAGTAATATTTAAAGAGAACTAACCTGCAGTCATGTTTTTAGGAGGTGGTTGTGAAGATCTTACGTTCTTAAATACACATTTATCATTCAATTAATTCTTATATCATGAAAAATAAATTTTATCACCTGCAATGGCTGGAAAATAAATTTTGCTATTAGATCTTTTTTACATAAATTGTATATAATTTCTGGAAAAGCAAATTACACATATATCATCTGGAAGCGCGCAAGCTCCTCCTTCATCATCGTCATCCATTTCATCGTCATCACCATCATCGTCGTCACCAAAGCAATCATTTTGTGGCTATAATAATAATTAAGCGTGTACACTTTAAAAAATTTGTTGTTTTTTTTTTTATATACCATTGGTCCTGCTGATCCTTGTGGATACATTCCCTGACGTGGGCACTATGTGGAAAAACACTTTTAATTTCTACAGTATTTAGTATATTATTAAGTATATTTGGAAAGAAACTTACGGGACCATTATAATAAGGCATTCTTACACCTCCCCCCTAATTTATATTGAATTATAAAATGAAACATTTTTATTTTTAAGAATAATTTAGAATATATAGGAAAAGTTAAGTTATATGATAGTTACAGGAGTACAATTTATTCGAGGTTCTGGTCGTCTTTGAGGATACGCTCCAGCATACTGTAGTGGAAGAGATATATGCATGTTCAGTTAAACACACAGTAAGCAAACATGCAACGAATATTTAAGACTGAGCTCATAATGAAGCTTTAAAAGTTCCTAGATTGTTAAGATTTCAAAACTAGTTTTTATAAATCGTATTAGCTGCAGCACTTGGTTGAAGGTAATTTATTGCAGAATATTAAATATTTTCATCTCTGAGACATGAAATTTGCAAGTAGACGACAAGATCATACAAAGTTTAAGACATTCGGATGCCCACAAGTAGGCAAATATCACCGTTTATAGTGGGGATTGATTGTCTTAGAAGCTCGATATTCGATACCCATTGATTGTATAAAGTTTATAGACCGTTCAGTAAATGTTAGTACTTTTACATTATAAAAATTTCAAACTTAATTATTTAGTTAAGTAGATCAACCGAAAGCAATTTTTAAGCAGCTGTCAAATATTTAAAACAAATATTTTACAATTCTGAATTCTTTAAAATTAATTCTTTGTCTTTACATTGTTTAAATTTGGAATTGTAAATATTTTTGTCATATGGTAATTAAATTCATTTAATATAATGAAACTTTTTCTAAAATCTTTGACATTATGAGCTTGTCAATGTTTCTATTTAATAGACCAATTAAAATAGAATAATAGACTAATGGTCAAATAGCTGTATTTTACAATTCTTATACAGATTTACTTATAACAGATTGTGCTAGATATACAATCATATAAATATATAATTTTTGCATTTATTGTACTTACTGGAGAGCAACCGTCTCGACTACCCATCTATACAAAATAAAATATTTGAAAAGAAAAAAAGTTAAGCCAAGAAAGATACTTACTTTTACGATATTTCATAAGCAAAATGTTTATTTCCAGTTTTATTTTAAAGGGACTGACAACTTTTACAATTGATTAGACGTTACTACAAATATTTAAACATGATTAAAATTGAGCCGAAAATTATTTGAAACTTTTTTCCATTTAAAATTTTTTTTCTGTGATATATATAATAAGTTTACCATATACTATGTTAGAACAATTTTTAAAAGTTTGAGGCTACTAAGTTTTAATATATTTCTTTCTAATGAAAATCTTTATGTAATTGCTACCTAAACGTTTTTTTATAGTTACGATTCAGACATCGTCTAATTTTAAAAATTTTGGAGTGATTGGGAAGCTCACGGACTTACTTTGTTTCTCATTGCCTTTTGCACTTGTAAGTATCTCATGATGATTAGGGAAGTTACATATTTTGCAGCAAAATATTATGTTTATATAAGAATGCTGGGATATATACTAGAAAAGTTATATCAATTTATTAAGCGTGGCATGCGAGTAGTCAAGCCGTTCTTATAGGGCGCTAGCTTTCTCCCAACTAAAAGTGTGTGAAGTAATATATCTTTTTAACACTGTTGAATTTTAAAGTTAATTCGAGAACTGCCTTTTAAGTCTTGCGCATAATAATGACAACATAGTAAAATTAGTTTTATTGTTTCTCGAAGTATGTTTCATGATTATCAACACATTTTTACATTAAATTCAACCAATTTTGCAAACAATTTTGCCATACTGAAGTTGGTATCACCGATATTAGGGTCTTGAATATCACAACAAACTATTCGTCGTGGACAAAACGATGACAACGTTCAAAATCATTGAATCACATCGGTAGATGTGGTGTTTCTTTACCAAATGTCGAACTAAGTTGATCGAAGAACCGGTGTCGAAAATCTTGAAAACTCATCGCAGAAAAGTGTTCATTATTTAATTCCATTTTTTCGGAGAGATACAATTCAGAATTGATGTAAACACAATAAACGCTCGTAAACTAAAACGTGTAATGACTTTTATGCTACAAAATATCAAACTATCGAACAAAAATGTCAAAATTCATCTAGCAGTAGTTATGGTTGTCTAGGAGACTTAAAACGCAGCTTACCTAGTTATGTTATATATCTATAAAGTGATAAATCTTAGTAGGATTTGACAGTAGTTGTTGTTGTCTAGGCGACTTAAAAGGCAGCGTACCTAATTATGTTATATATTTATAAACTCATAAATCTTAATAGGATCCGGATATTGGAAACAGAAACTTTCTGGCGAGCAATCCGGGCACACTACTGCACTGGATAAGCTGCTGATAATATCTACACAAACAAAGACATCCTTTCGTCTTGCTTGTTAGGTGAATTGTACTATCGAAAGTTATATTAATTACTACATGTTTAAAATATAACACATACTAGTCTCCTATATTTCATAAAATGATTGAAAAGCGGTGCATTACAAAGACGAAACGAAAAATCATTATCGTCATTGTCTTCTCTTTTATAAATTAGATAATATTTTAATAATCGGTACTTTAAATATATGTTCTATATTATATTGTATGTGTACAAATTAACTAAAAATTATTACATTGTATAACTAATAGATAACTAGAGGGCAACATCGACATAAGAATTCTCAAAGCATGAGTGGCCCTCTATGCGCGCAAAAGGATATTTGGTAAGAGCTAACCAGATTACAATGATCTGCTTGAGTGAGCGTAACGGGGGCATTAAGATTGTGCCTAGCAAGTATATTCGAGTCATATTTCACTTGTTACCTACTGATGTTTATATTAAACAAGTAGCTACTCTTAATGCAGAAAGGGTTAAAGGTTTAAACTGTTGCCGCTCGATTGCGGTCGGACATGCGAAAATTCCATCAGTTTATTCGATTGATGGGAATGGTGAAACGAATAACTTATGTGTTCGTTTGCACTTCTACAATAAATTCGCCACCCATTCAAGATAGAAATGGCAAACCTGCTTACAAACGCTAGAAAAGATAGCGACCAATACCGATGGGTATAAGATGGACAAAGGCATTGGAGCTGGAATCTTTTCCACGGACTAAAGGATTACAAATCCTACCATCTCTCCACTTCTACTTCAATATTTCAGGTAGAAATCTTGCTTTAAACATGGTCTTTTGAGAAAAGCAAGTCTATATTCTTACTGACAGTTAGGCTCCAATCAAAGATTTATCAGTGATCTGTATTTCATATAGATTAGTGGAAAAATGTAGAGAATTTATAAATGCACTGAGATGTCCAAGATAACTATAGTTTGGGTTCCCGGACATTCTAATATAATAGGAGATGAGCGTATAGTAGGAGTGCAGATGACCTTGCTAGACTGGGCGCCTTTTCTACGGATAACCCTATTTTAATCCCAGCTCCTGTCAGCTACCGTCGGAAATTAATTTATGACCATTTTTTGTAATAGTCAAATAGTGAGTGGGCCCATAGTGCCTTATCAGTCAGTCCAAATGTAGAACCTCTAACTTGATACACAAAATTAAACTAGAGCTAATTAGGTTAATATCTGTATTTACATAGCACTGGACTATAGGTCATAGTGGAGCTGGACTACCTTGTACCTTGTCTACCTTGTAGAATCGCGTGTACTATATATCGGCTTTCGAAGAAAGGACACCAGTTTGGGAATAAAAACTTTCAAAGTAGCAAAAAGCTTTGTAAAAGAATCCTACAACAGACTAGTGAAATTTTTTGATACAATTAATGAAAACTGTCCTCAGAATACTGATCAAAATTGTCTAATGAAACAACATAAAATTTCATCTATTTTTGCCTTTAAGTGCTCAGTAGTATTCCAAATTTAGAATTTAAAATAGAATTAGATTGGAATTGTTGAGTAATGTTGAGCATCGTTCATGCTCAGGACTTTTTGTATCCGGACTTCTTGAATTTATTTAGAAAACTTGAACATTTAAATCGCAGTTTATCTTATTTTCTTAAGGTTAGGCCACAATTTAATGAGTGCCAAGGGTTTATTCTGCTATAAATATGATTGTTTAGTTTACACTTATAGCCAACTGCAGTTAAACCAATAGTCAACTGATATTATTTATTTCTGCTATTTTTATTGGGTGGATTATTGTATAGCTCCACGATGTGAGCTAGAAAACTGTATAGATATTGCATATGTAATAAATACTTACTTTTATTTCATATTTTCTGACAAGAAGAGAAAGTTATAGATTACACAAGTATGGTTTTATATGTGTTTTATTTGGTCAAAGTATTGTAATAATATATGAAAATTTTTTGATAATGGGAACTCAAAATGGAGAATATTCAAGATCCGTAGCAAGTTCCTTCACAGAATTATGACGTATAGAACTTAACTTCTTCGATCCATTGGAATATCCTACATAAAACAAAAACATGTTAGTTTAATATATTCTTTTATGTAGACTTAGATGATAAATGATCATTTATGCTATCATAATAGTATTAATTATTTTTAAAAATCAACAGAAACTTTTTTCACTTATTGTCCTTTTTGGCACTTAGAACATTAAACGACAGATGGTGAGTTTTTTATTAAATGCATAAATGCTTTTTTCATGTTATATTTTTTGATTGTCTTACTGTTGGGTCTGTGGTTTTTGTTTCTGGTATTTATCATACCAGCTACAAAAATATGCATAAGTATTGTAAAATTGTAAAATATTTTACCTTTATCCGATCCTTCATTATGCTTTGTTCAGTATTTTATGGCATTTACGCAAAAATGAGCGCATCTATGATATTTCGTAAATTATACTTTACTTTCATGTTCTCGTACCTTTTGAAGAAAATGCCCACTTCACTATATTTATATGTAATGGAATAAAGAACCCAATCCTTATGAAATATATTTCCGTAGAATTTTACTAAAATCCGAGACCAAAAGGATCCATAAACTAAAATATTTAATATATTAAAAACTGGAACTCATGCTCATAAACTAGAACATAATTCATTTATATATATATTGTATTTCGTTAAGGTCTAGAAAACTGAAATCTGCTTATATATTCTTGTGCTAAGACGATGGAGCTAAGACGATTGTTTGATGACAACATCCGCACTACAGTGGTGGCGCCGAAAATTTGCACCGTAGATATACTTAGTTTCACCACTCTCTGAAAATTGTTACCTTATCTTACCCACATACAATAACTTGCATATTTTTCTTTGTGCATTTGAAAATTGAAATGATTAACACAGACATTCTTCTCGTCTGAAATCGTGTCATAAAGTTGAGTTATTTGTTCGTATAGAGACAATATGATACACTAAAGTAGTAGTTCGAAAATGTGTGTAATAAGCAGTGAGAATATAATGACATCTTTACGTTAAAGGAAAACCAGGGGTTAGGTGTGAAAGATCGTGGTTCAGTAGACATGAAAAATTTAGAGACGTTTTGCATCTAAGAAAATCATAGGTATATGTCATAATTGTATATTTTGTTCATAATTAGCACTGAAATCGACAGTACTAACTTTCACATATGTTTCTACCTCTTTCATAGGACAGGTGAAATTTCCGTCAAGTTTTTTTTTTAGAACGTTGTATATAAATTTATTAAAAATAGCTGTATAGTCGAACTAAATAACACAATAGTATAAACTCAATTGATAAAATACATTTTCTATTCTATTCACACGTTAATGGCAACGCTGTGGAAAAGGGAACTAGAAGAATGAAGAAAAGTCAGTCGGTAGTAAGTCGTCGTTGTAGGCAGTCGATTGTGCATAGTATACACTTTGATTTTTGTAACCAATGAGTAGCTGTTGAATAAACATTCCTACATATATAACTAATACATAATATATTATACATTTGCAATACGAACATTAATTATTGTATTATACACTTTGATTATTGTAAATAAATAACTATTAAATAAACATTCCTACATATATATATATATATATATATATATATATATATATATATAGGAATGTTTATTAATATATATATATATATATATTATATTATATATATACTATATATATTTGAAGTATAGAATACCATTGAGAGTACCAAATATATTTATTATATACAATAAATTATATATCTGTATTTAAAAATTCTTACATCATCCTCTAGGCATATACTACTTTCATCTGCATCAGAAAATTCCTGAAAATGAATATTTATATATAGTTCTATATCTTTTTCAAACACAAATTTCATAATATAATAAACTAAAACTTAATTAATTAATTAATTACCATTGATTCCGCATACATCGCATCGTCAGCCTAAAAAAGTTGAAATATTATTATATTTACGTATAAAATTATACGTATGAAGGTTCAACGGTTATAAATAAATATTTAATAGAATTATTAAATATTATTATTATTATTCAAAAAAATTAATTCACTCATTAATTTCAAATAGTTTGATACATAAATTAAGAACACTACATAAGATTAATAAAATGACATTAAAAGAGAGATTAAGAAATGAATATTTGATTAACAATAAATTGAAATACTTTTAATTAGTAATTTCTTAATAATAAATGAAGGGTTAAATTAGAAATAAAATATTCAAGAATCATAACATTTAATTTTTAGACAAACCTTTCAAAAGAATTTTATATAGTGACATAAATAATATAGTATTCTAATTAGGATTCTCCATATTTGCGATTTTATTAAGTGAAATTTATCGGAATTAAAGTTACAATTAAAATTAAAGCAATTAATTACAGCATCAAATATATCTAATGAATTATATAAAAATTGCTTGTTATAAGGTTTTATAAAATTAAGAACTTCTTGAGCATTTAGTTTAAGTTTTTGATGTGAGATAGGGACTTACAGCAGTTGCAAGTATATTAGTTACTATGACAATCAAAAAACAAAAAATCTTTTAAAATTTTCTTGTTAAATTTTATATTGTGAGACCACAAAAAAATAAGGTTAGCATCTTGGGGAATAGGAGGCAGTGTTACTAACAACGCTAGGAAAGATAGCGATTTATACCGACGGGACTAAAATAGATAAAAGCATTAGAGCCGGAATCTTTTCCACGGACCTAGGGATAAGTAAATTCTACCATCTCTCCGGATCTATTTCAATATTTCAGGTAGAAATTTTCGCCATTCTGAGAATATATTCTTTTACTTTAACACACTCAGCAATACCTCCAGTATCAGCATAGATCAGATTCCTGCATTTATAAATGCTTTCGGTTGGTTCTAACACAATCATTTTTGTACCTTTTATTGCGAGGAATTGCAAAATCAAAACAGTTTTCTTAGCTAATTAAGGAGGATTCGCTCCTCGCTTCACTTCATCGAATCTATCCTAACCTGGATTATCTATTTGAGTCCTTTTGGACTACCTACCTACTTGTAGGGAATATAATTTAAAGTTCTTCAGATAATAATTTTGGTTATGATAACGATTATCTTGGCTTACAGTTGAAACGATTATTACTTATTTGCAAATAAAATATTATAGAGATAGAAAACAAGTCGTATTATCACTGATGACACGAAACGGATTATCACCGAGGCGAGTGTTTAATGAAATATCCCCATATCTGACCGATAACGTGTTAAATTTAACACTGTACTGTTCATTATAAACTGACGGAATTTATTATTTGATTGATTGGGAATAAGTTTTTTTGAATCGTAAGGAGATTTAATAAACTGATTGAATGTTTAAAAAGCTTAAAGCTTTCTGACTTTTAATAAAGGCCCAAAGTCTCTATTATAGTTCAAAACATTCTTATTGATATATCCAATAAATTTTAATTAAAATTGTATAAGGAAATACTTACGTTGTATTCATCACAGTCAAAACTTGCATCAAAACCTTCCTGCAATATACAAAATATTTTCGTAAAATAAACAACAAAAATAAAATTTTTTCTTTATTTTTAATTTTTTAACAAATATAGGAAATGCTCTTAAAAGAAATTTCTTGTCTATGTTATAAACAAAAATATTTTTAAGTACAAATATATTATACATATTATAATTATATTATATTACAAATAAAATATATTAATGAATAAAAGAAAATGATTTAAATAGTGATACATATCCAATATCTCGATTTTTAATTACTCCTTATACAAAAGGAGTATATCTAAAAGTTAGGCCTCGAATTCCATAAGTATAGAGTATAGTTAGAAAATATGCGGACTTATAAGCTTTACGGAATGTCTGGTTTCATTAATTAATGTATTGTTAGTATTTTTATTCGCAAATAGTTGCTAATAATTAATTAATTAATTTAAAGAAATTATATTAAATACAAATTTGAGTAAAAATTTATTATATATTATATAATAAACTAAAACTTAATTAATTACTTAATTACCTCCATTCTCGTTGATTCCGGCGGCATCTCATCATAACCCTAAAAAAGTTGAAATATTATTATATTTTTAAAAATTATACGTATGAAGGTTCAACGGGTATAAATAAGTATTTAATAGAACTAAATAAATAACCTTTGTATTATTCCAAAAAATTAATTCACGCATTAATTTCAAATAGTTTGATACATAAATTAAGAACACTACATAAGATTAATATGTTTGATTAAGAAATGGAAACACAATTATTGTCAACATCAGATATATCTTTTCTTATTTCGTTTAAATTCAAGAAACAAAAGTTAAATTCTTAAAATTATACAAAATATCATTCTATCAAGTAGTGATGGAAGTCTATATAAAACATTACACAATTTCTTTATTGCAATATATATTTAATTTGAAACATTCATTATTTGGTGTCCAAACTTCTAGTCATCGAGCTGACTGAAGTTTTATCACTGTCATGACACCATAACCACTTGCATGGTTTGGAACTTATGCTCTCAGTGTATTGCCTCAATTATGTTGGATGTAATAATAAACAAATTTAATGAAATTAATTTATGATATTTTTTTCTT